CCCTAACCGAAAAGTTAAAAATTTTAAGTGCTCCAGATTCAGAAACATTTTGAGTACCAATGTGATGTCACAAGTGGAAAATTTTACATCTTGATCTTACATAATGGGTTGCAGGCAAAATGCAGGTACTCAACACAGTTTATTCAGCATCCTCAAGGGAAAAAAGACCCTCCCAGCTCCCTTCATCTGTAATATATCTTTTCTGTGCACTCCCAGATTATTCTCTGCAAACATGCCCACAAAGGGTAATACAATGACACAGTGGCAGGTCAGATGTGCCAATGGCAAGTTTCCGTGATGTCCCACATAGGGCCAAGACTGATGTGCATTACTGTTTTTTGCTTATTGCCTGCTTGGTCTAGTGGTTAAGATAAAAAAAACAAAAAACAAAACAAAGAAAATGTCATAAAGGCCTGCAGTAACAGTGATAAGAAAAAGAGAAATCATTTAAAGGTTTATATATAACACAGAAAGTCAAGCTGTTGGAGAAACTGGATAATGGTATAAGTGTGAAAGGTCTTAAAGAAGTGTATGCTGTTAGAATGACTGCCAGATATGACCTAAAGAAACAAATGGATAAACTGTTTGAGTTCTATGCTGAAAGTGATGAATAGAAGCTAATGAAAAATAGAAAAACACTGCATAACATTTTTTTAAAAAAAGAAAGAAATAATGGGTCCATCTGCTTTGCAGTGAACACATGTCACTTAATAGTATACTGATCAGGAAACAAGTGAAGATGTATCACAATGAAATGAAAATTGAAAGGAACTGTCAATATTTAACAGGCTGGTTGCAGAAATTTAAGAAGAAAATGACATTAAAATTTTTAAGATTTATAGTAATTGAGCATCTGCTGATCATGAAGCATTGGAGAAATTCATTGATGAGTTTGCCAAGGTCATTGCTGATGAAAATCTGATGCCAGAACAAATCGATAATGCTGATTAAACATCATTGTTTTGGCATTATTGCCTCAGAAAGACACTGACTACAGGTGATGAAGCAGCCCCTGTGGGAATTAAGGATGCCAAGGACAGAAAACAACTATGCTGGGCTGTGCTAGTGCAGCAGGCGCATGTAAGTGTAAATGTGCTGTCATAGGTAAAACCTTATGTCTTCAGTTTTCAAGGAGTGAATTTCTTACCAGTTCATTATTATGCTAACAAAGAGGCCTGAATCACCAGGCACATTTTTTTTTTTTTTCCAATTGGTCCCACAAACATTTTACATCAGCAGCTCGTGCTCACTGCAGGGAATCCGGATTGGATGATGATTGAAATATCCTGTTACTCCTTGACAACTCTTCTGTTAATCCTCCAGCTGCAATTTTCATCAAAAATAATGTTTATGCCATATAATTTCCCCTAAATGTGACTTCATTAATTCAGCCATGTGACTGCGATGAGAATATCCTTAGATCAATGAAGAGTAAATATAAAAACACTTTTTAAAATATTTTTAATTTTTATTTTAGTTTTGGGGGTACATGTGCATGTTTGTTATGTGGGTAAACTTGTGTCTTGGGTGTTTGTTGTACAGATTATTTCACCACCAAGGTACTAAGCCTAGTACCCAATAGTTATTTTTTCTGCTTCTCTTCCTCCTCTCACCCGTCACCCTCAAGCAAACGCCATTATCTGTTGTTCCTATCTTTGTGTCCATGAGTTCTCATCATTTAACTCCCACTTCTAAGTGAAAACACGCAGTATTTGATTTTCCGTTCGTGTGTCAATTAGCTAAGGATAATGGCCTCCAGCTCCATCCATGTCCCTGCAAAAGATGTGTTTTATATATATATATATATATATAGCTACATAGTACTCCATGATGTATATATACCACATTTTCTTTATCCAATCTGTCACTCATGGGTGTTTGGTTAATTCCATGTCTTTGCTATATTGTGAACAGTGCTGCACTGAACATTCATGTGCATTTGTCTTTATGGTAAAACGATTTATATTCCTCTGCGTATATACCCAGTAATGGGATTGCTGGGTCGAATGGTATCTCTGTTTTCAGTTCTTTGAGGAATTGCCACACTGCTTTCCACAATGGTTGAGCTAATTTACATTCATACACCAACAGTGTATAAATGTTCTTCTTTCTCTACAAGCTCACCAGCATCTGGTTTTTTTTTGACTTTTTAGTAATAGCCATTCTGACTGGTGTGATATGGTATCTCATTGTGATTTTGATTCACATTTCTCTAATGATTAGTGATACTGAGCTTTATTTTCATGTTTGTTGTCCACATGTATGTCTTTAGAAAAGTGTCTGTTCATGTCCTTTGCTTACCTTTTAATGAAGTTGTTTGTTTTATTCTTGTAAATTTAAAAACACTTTCTTGAACAGCGTGCTAGCAGCAGTGAACAGAAGCATAGACGTGGATTTTTTTTTTTTTTATAGTTGCAGTCTTGCTCTGTGCCCAGGCTGGAGTACAGTGGCACAATCATGGCACACTGCACCCTTGAACTTCTAGGCTCAAGTAATCCTCCCACTTTTCCTGAGTAGCTGGGAGTACAGGCATATGTCACTATACCCACCTAATTAAAAAAAATTTTTTTATAGACAGGAGTCTCGCTATGTTGCCTAGGCTGGTCTTGAACTCCTGGCCTCAAGCAATTCACCTGCCTCATCCTTCTGAGTCACTGGGATTATAGATGGAAGGTTTTCAAAAGGAGTTTATTATGAAGAATGCCGTATATGCTGTTGCCAGTGCTTGCAACATAGTTACTAAAGACATGGTTGTACATGCCTGGCACAACCTCTGGCCTGTGATGCTGTTCAATGATGATGATAAAACAAGGTGGTGACTTTGTAGGATTCCATATGTCAAGTGAGAAAAAATTATGTCTGACCTCCCAAAATATGCAAAATGTATACTTCCAGAGTCTGTCAGTAAGCTGGAAGAAGTGGATGTTGAAGTTTGTATTTATTTATTTATTTATTTATTTATTTATTTATTTATTTATTTATTATTTGAGATGGGTCTCACTCTGTCACCCAGGCTGGAGAGCAGTGGTGCAATCTCAGCTCACTGCAACGTTTGCCTCCCAGACTCAAGCCATCCTGCCACCTCAGCCTCCTGAGTGGCTGGGACCACAGGCATGTACCACCATGCCCAGCTAATTGTTTGTATTTTTGGTAAAGATGGGGTTTTGCCATGTGGACCAGGCTGATATTGAACTCCTGAGCTCAAGCAATTTGTCCACCTTGGCCCCCAAAGTGGTGGGATTACAGGTGTGAGCCATGGCGCCAGGCCAATTGACATTTTTAACATCAATAATGAGGCTCCAGCTGTTCATTAATCAACAGATGATGAAATAGACAAAATGGTTCTGATTCAAGGTGATCATGACAGTAATGACGATGAAGATGGTGTTGTAACACTGCAGAAAAAATGCCTATATATATGGTAAAAATGTGTGATGGGCTTGTTGAAAATCTATAGTTTTTATGAAGCAAAATAAAATTCCTTTTTTTACCGTATAAGAATGGAGCAGCACACATTCATAACAGAGCAAGAAATCATGTCAGTTATAAAATTAAAGAGAAATTTCTATGACAAAAACCATTATTAATGAAGCAGATGACTCTAGAGGAAACATTTTAAAAAGCTGGCCAGCAAAATGCCTCCGTATCCTTAGCATACCCACTTCCTGGTCCCTTAACTGTTTCTGATGTTTAATCTCACTTAGAAAAATAAAGTACAGCTTACTGTAACCTCTTAATCAAAATATAGCATCATAGGTGGATACTGAAAATTGTTAGTTGTTGCTGTCGTTTAAGAGCTAATGCAGGTACTCTGGGGGTGCTACCGTGCTGTTACCCTGAACACATTTTTTCACTGTATTAATGGTATGTCTTTTTTTTTTTTAAACTGTTAAGTACTTATGGGTAAATAAATGTTAAAAAATGATTGCTTATTGGTAGCATATAAATTCAGAGTTGGGAATGATAGTGATGCCAAACAATCACAAATAAGTGACTGAAATAGTGACACATTTGCTTTCTGGTGGTTCCATGTACACAGACTTTTATGCACAAAATTATTTAAAGTGTTGTGTAAAATTACCTCAGGCTATGTGTATAAGGTGTACATGAAACATAAATGATTTTCATGTTTAGACTCAGGTTTAATCTCCAAGATATCTCATTGTGTACATATGCAAATATTCCAAAATCTGAAAAAAATCCAGAATCTGAAACTTCTGATCCCAAGCATTTTTGGTAAGAAATACTCAACCTGGATTAAGTCAGGGGTTGGGGAAGGAGCATACAATGATATAAAATTATTTATTTTAGATACTGGCAGGAAATATACTGTAATATTTAGAATGTTTGTCTTTGGAACGATAGATTTAGTTTTTTTCTTTCAGTTTTGGTGAATTTTTTAGTTATCTGTCTGTGCATATTATTTTCTGTTCATAAGCAAAAAAAGTTATTACCATTGCTTCATATCAAACTAAAAATGGAGGTAATAGTCAAGCTAAATATACTTTCCCCTCTTCTTTTCTGTTTATTTAGTTAGTGACCCCTCATAGTTTTCATTAAGCAAAATAAAATTCCTATTTTTGGTATACAAGAATTGAGAAATTACTCTATTTATGAATATACAAAGCATTTTTTTGTTTAATGTATATCTAACCTAAATTTTGGAATTATATGTAGAGTACTCTAAATGTACAACAGTAGTTGTTTAAGTACCTATATCTATAAGTAGTCGGGTGTTAACAATTAGTAGGGAGGCAAGAAAAATAAAAATTATAATAAGCAGTGAATGGCACTTATTAATCATGTACTGTTTATCTGGAAAAAGGGAAAGATACTGTCTATCCTCAGCTATATAGCTAAAAATATATTTTATGAGGATATAAATGAGGAAATGAAGAAAGCACTTGGTAAACTATAAAGTATTAAACAAATGTAAAATAATATGTTTGAATGATCTTGTAATTGATTATCCTTAACTTTTTTATTTTATTCTTTACTAGATTGCTATGAAGAACTGTAACACACCTTTATTAAGAGCTTACTATGGTTCCTTGGAAGACAAGAGGTCTTTGTCACTCAACTGTTATTAAAAACTAAGATTATTCTCCTCTTCCTGATCATAACTGATTTTAAATACTCTAGTTGTATTCTATGGAACAATTACTTGAGTTTTGGTTAACAGAATCTTTAACCTATTCATCAAAATTCTAATTGTACATTTCATGTTATAAGTACAATAAATAGGGTAACAACACATTGATTATTTGTGTTAAAAGACAATTAGAATAGCATGAGAACTTGAAATCCATGCACAATTTTAATATTTCTTTTTAAAGCCATTCTCCATGGAAAGACTTGCAAATAATAAAAATATATTTCTTCATTTTGTTAAATCATGAAGGGTCTAATGTAACAAAAAATAATAGATATAAATATTGAATACAATCTAAATACTGTTTAATTTTAACACTATTAAATTATTAGCAGTAGTTGTGGACTGAAGAACTACTGGTTCAGTCCAGACCTTGGTTCTGAACTTAAAAGATTTCTGATACCTAAGAACTATTCTTCTATTAATTGAAGAAATATACCCTGTGTGAGGTCACACATTGAAGTTAATAATAAAACTGGCTTAATTACAAACAAAATATAGAATGGAATGAAGGAAAAGTTGAGGAAAATATATGTTACCAGATTTCTGGTTTGCATAATCACTGCACTTTACCACTGATAATTGTGAGGTTCCTGTTACGCTGTCTACATATGTATTCAGTGACCGTTGCCTCTACTGAAGGCAGGGATCATATGTTATTCTTCTCTGAATCTCTTCACCTAGCGAAGTGCTTGATACATGGTGTAAGTTAATGTTTATTGAATGAATGAGCATGAAGCTAGAATTTTTATAACAGTTCTTTAGAGATATATTTTTTACCCACAGGCACATCAGTATATGTAATTTGTGAGCTCTATTAGCAGATGTAGAATTGTTCTTGGGGTCCTGATGCTGTTTTAGACTAGTCCTGACTGATGTTAGTTGTTGCTGTCGTTTAAGAGCTAATGCAGTTTAAATATGAAATAGTCACAGCTCTAACTTAAGTAAATTTAAGTATTTGTTGCTTAATTAGTTATTTCAAAATAACTTTGAACAAAAATTTGCTATCATCAACTGTGATTCAAATTATAAACTAAAATAACTCTTTGACTTATTGTCTATAATGTTCTTCTTTTGGCCTTAATATTAGGTTTGGAATCATACTTGAAAAGATTAAAACAGTAATTAATGATGATGCAAGATACATGAAAGGATGCCTGAACATGAGGACTCAGAAGTGCTATGCAGTGAGGTCTAACATAAATGAATTTCTTGACATAGCAAGAAGAACATACACAGAGATTGTAGATGACATAGCAGGTAGTTTATTTATTTCATAATGTTTTTCTGTTTTGTAGGGATGAAACAGCCCTTTCAGGACATGCTGTCCTTTTTTGCTGCTGATGACTAGCCATACATATTTTACATTTATTTTTTGTTACCAAAACATAAGTTTAGCATGTAGTGCCATTTAAGGAAACAGCATATGTGGCAGCCTTCATACTAAACTCCTTTTGAAAACCTTCCATTGCCAAGTGTAGTAGCTCAAGCCTGTAATCCCAGCACTTTGGGAGGCCAAGGAGGGCTGATAGCTTGAGTTCAGGAGTTTGAAACTAGCCTTGGCAATACAGCTAGTCTTTTGTAGAGACAAAACGTTGTCTCTACAAAAACTGAAAAAATTTGTCAGTCATGGTGATGTATGCCTGTCGTCCTAGCTACTCAGGAGGTTAAGGTAGGAGGATCACTTGAGCCCAGGAGGTTGAGATTGCAGTAAGTTATGATTGTGCCACTGTGCTCAGGCTGGGCGACAGAGTGAGATCCTGTCTCAAAAAAAAAAAAAAAATATTAAAAAAAAAAAAAAAAAAAAAAATTATTAGAGTTTGAAAGAGCAACAAGACCTCTTATTTATGTATAAAACAATAAGAATTTAAAAACCATATGACTTTAAAACAGAGTGGTTTTCTCATTAAAATCTATTTATTTTGCTTTGTTTTTGTTTTTCTTATTTCTGGTCACCAGGAATGATATCACAACTTGGAGAAAAATATAGTCTTCCTTTAAGGACAAGTTTTAGCTCTGCTCGAGGATTTTTCATCCAGATGACTACAGACTGTTTAGCCCTACCTAATGATCAACTTCCTTCAGAATTTATTAAGGTTCATTTTAGAGTGGTTAGGAAATTGTTGTTGCTGATTTTATAGAATTACATCTACGTATTTTTGGGACTTCTTGAGTTTTACAAGCCAAATTTCTGAATGTTCGATATCTTCTCCTATTCCTACCCACCTACCTAATAAATATACTAATGTAAGAGTGATTTATAAGCTTTTGCAGAAATATCAAACTCAGTGTTTTCCACAGTTCTGGGAGCCTGGTGTAAGAAAAAAAGGAAAATGAAGAAAGAACATCCAAAAGCTGTTTATGAAAAAAGAAATTAGGAAAATACCACACCATTTGCCTGCTAAAAGTTTAAAAAGTCCTGAAGTAAAGAAATCTACTTAACTTTAAAAAAATCTAATATTTCCAAACCTTTGTACCACAGGAATATTTTTTCCTATATAGCTCCTTTACAATATACCAGTTTGGGAAAGTCTAACCCACTCTAACCTTTGTGCTGTCTGCTTCCTGGGGGTACTTTTTGATAAGAACAAACCATTTAGCTTTCAGGCTTTTAGAGCTTGAGTAAGATTAGAGATTTGAGTTGAGGTTCAGATATAGGACAAGAGCTGCAACAGGGGTCGGAGATAGAGTGAGGATCTCTGATGTCCATCATGCATGTTACTTGGTAATAAGATGTAGTGTTTTTAACATTTTAAGAACTATCAGAATAGTCATCCCAGATGAACTAGGTCAAAATATCCTGCTTTAAAAAAATGAATGTATGGGTTAAAAAAAATTTGGCTTTATCCTTTGAAGTGATCTTCCTTTTATGTTTCACAAATGTTATTTAGAACTTTCTTTGTGATACCGTATCTCAAAGATTAAAATGATTAACTTAAATATCCATATTTCTGTTCTTTAAAATCTTATGTTATATTTCATAGTAGTGTGCACTTATCTTGACATTTGTTTTTTAATCTCCCAGCAGATTTCTAAAGTGAAAAATTCTTATAGCTTTACATCAGCAGATTTAATTAAAATGAATGAAAGATGCCAAGAATCTTTGAGAGAAATCTATCACATGACTTATATGTAAGAGCATTTGAAATATTTGAATATTGAATTAAATTGGTTTAATTTGAGAAACTGTTACAATTGTATTAGTTTAATTGTTATCTAATTACAGACAATTGTAGAATTAATTATGTTAGCAAAGGAAGTCTGTCTTTGTGATTAGAATCACTGAGCCTCACAGAAGCTTCGGGGAAGATCTAATTGCAAACAAATACTATTATAATTGATATTTCTGTAATATGCATTCTACTATGATGTAGAACTTGGCACATCATGGGCTTACCTGGGCTTCATTCAGTTTATTCTTTTTCTATGGTCTGTAAGTCCTCAGCTCCTTATACCTTGATAGTAATAATTGAATAGCAATATCACAATAGTGTCAGTTCTTTTGCTGGTCATGAAATAGCAATACAGCCAGAAAGAAGAAGTAGAAGATTTAGAACACTTATTAGGCTGAGGTAATAAAGAGAAAAGTTGGGCTTTCAAGACAATTTCAAGGCATATACCACAAACATTTTAATATATAGTAAGTTTTGGGTACATATTTATCTTTACAAGAGAAAAACTTTTTGCACTATATCACAGTATAACTCTGCCTTATAAAAAAAATTTTATTATTCAGATACTGTGTCTGTGTGCACGTGTGTGATGAGAGAACAAGTGCGAAACAGAAAGAAAAAATGGGTGAGAGAGAAAATGCATATAGCTTTTGTGTTGAACTTAACATTTGCAAATTCATAAAGTGATTAGCAAATGGGATGTTTCCAAATATAATGAGGGCTTGATTTGACCTATATCAAATATTTTAATAATAAAAACTTATTTTATTAGTATCACATAAAAGCAGTTATTTCAAAAATGTGATGTTAATACACCAGAAGATAGATTCTTTGCCACTAAGTAGATGTGATCTTGAGTAAAAACTTCAATTTCCTCATCTCTAAAATGAGACAATCAAACAATAGGCTTTATGTATAGTGTATAACTCAGGTGTGAATATTATTTTACTTCAGGCAGTGAATTTAATATTATTTTACACTTACAATGTATGTCCCTTTTGAAAAAACATTACATGTCTTACCAAACATGTGTTTTCAGGATAGTGTGCAAACTGCTTAGTGAGATTTATGAACATATTCATTGCTTATATAAACTATCTGACACTGTGTCAATGCTGGATATGCTACTGTCATTTGCTCATGCCTGCACTCTTTCTGACTATGGTAAGTTGCTTTCTTTGGAATAAACATATTGCATACTTAAATTTGTATTCCTTTCAAACAATTTGATATAATAGTTATGCCATTTAAAATTTTTAACTTGAAATAGAGTCTCTTGCCTCTGGTCCTAGACAAAGACACAAAATAAAGAAAGTGAGATTACCCTTAAAATTTTTTTTGAAGTAAAAAATTTTTCTCTCAAAAATTGGCAAACCAAAAAGAAAAAATTGCAAGAAACTATAGATTCCCCGAATAAGAAAGACTGCAAGAGCTGTCTCCTTGGTAAAAATGACTATGATCTAAATTTATAAAGTTCAAATCTGAATACTTATTAGAAGCAGTATGATAAATATTAATAGAGAGAAATGCATCTCCAGAGTGATGCATTTTAATCCACTAGCTCCTTAGATGTGAACATACCAAAATTAGGAATTATGTAATTTATTTTTATATCCCAAATCTATACAAAGGTCATGAATATAAATGTTAAGTAATTTTCTCATGTTAAATGAATACTTCGAGTTAGTGCTTTGACATTTCTTATCTAACTTACCAGTTATTACCATACTCCAGTATGCAAATTTACTGGACTAGTATGTGATAATTATGGTTGAATAATTGTAGACTTCATTACATTAAAAACATTGAAATTTCTGATGTAAATCAGCAGTAAAATTCATAAAATGTTATGTTAATTTAGTTTTATGGGAAGTATCTAAAGATTTTTTCATATTTCTTATGGAAATATTAACTTTTTCTATTGGTATTTTATAGGCCAAAACTTTTCAAACTTTTATATCTCCTTTGGGTCAAAACTGTACTTTAGGGGTCAGATATTCCAATGGTAGTTTTTTTTTTAAACTATTAAGAGATTTAGTATTGCTTCATTTTAGTTTGAGAAGGATCATTCTGAAACTCCGTATCTATAAAGAATGAATTTTTGAAAATACTTAAAATTTTTTTTCTAACTTCACTTTTATGATGAATGTTTTCAAGTTTATCTATGCATTTTA